CCCCATGTAGCAGGTATCAGATTCCACTCCTTTTTTTTGGCTAACAGTCCCTTGTATGTCTACACCACATTTTGTTTGTCCATTCATATAGTGATGGACCCGGGTTGTTTCCACCTTTGGCTACTGTGTACAGTGTTGCTAGTACAGGTATCTGTTTGAGTCCCTCTTTTTGATTCTTTTGGGTGTACACCTAGAAGTGGACTTGCTGGGCCAGAGGGTAATTCCATGCTTCGCTTTCTGATGACCTGCCAGGCCACTCCCACAGCAGCGGTACCTTGCTGATACTGTGACACACGCACTCTGCAATCTACACTGCGAGCCACCTCAGCTTGGGTTAGGAGGAAAACGTCACTCCCTGCTCCCAGTATGAGGAAAACAGTGCTGTGGGGAGCTGCTGGCTTTCCCAGGTGTGCCTCACTGGGTGTCCTGCTTGGCAGGCCCAGGTGGGCGGGCTGAGGGCAGGTGGCTCCCCGGCCCGTGGGGCCATGCCCGTGACCTGCCTTTGCCTGTGATCTGCCCTCCTCCTCCACACAACCACAAGCAGGAAGTGGCCTGGGCTCAGGGAGGGAGCTGTGTGCACAGGAGGAAGGGACCCCCCGGCCGTTGGCTGGGGTGGGCTGGCTTCCTGATGGGCTCTCTGGTGGGTGGGTTGGTGGGCTCTCTGGCCCCTGGGACACTAGGTGATCAGGCCAAAGCTGGGAAACACAGCCCCTACAGAGTGACTGGAGGCACGGGGTGATAGTGTCTTGGATGACGGCGTAGGCACCACGCTTCCCAATGTTAACACCTTGTGATGTCCCCTCTCCTTGAATTTGGCTGGCCTAGGATTTCTTTCTGACCTACAGGATGCGGCAGAAATGACACTTGATGACATCCCAGATCGGGTCATAAGAAGACTAACAGCTCCACTTGACCTGAGACCACCATACTGTGAGGAGGCTCAAGCCAGCCCTCAGCTGTTCCAGCCACCCAACCGAGGTGCTAGAGACGGGGGAGAACCATCCTGGCCGGTCCACCCTGTTTGGCCTTCAGATGACTCCAGTCCCGGCTGAAACCTGATTACAACTACAGAGAGACCGCAAGCAGAGCTGCCTCACTGAGCTGGGGCAATCCACACTCGGGGAGAGATACTAACAAATGGGGGCTTCCAGTCACTAAGTTTTGGGGTGCTTTGTTACACTGCTATAGTTGAAAGGAACATGGGAGTCAACCTCACGTCCACGTGTCGAGCCCCACCTGGGCCATCCCCCTGGGGCCAGAGTTCTGAGAGCGGGCGTAGGTCAGGGCTCAGAGACAGCTGGGGGCCTCAGCTCCCCGCCCCACCGTTTTTACCTATCCCTGGGGAGGCAGTGGTGGCATTCGGAGGGGGTCCTTGGGATCTAAACCCATGGGAGAATTCCAGCTGCCTGGGGCCCTTCCACAGCCAGGGCTGGGTTTCAGGGGGCAGGACTTCTTGGAAGAGGGACAGCCCCAGAGACAGACTGGCGGCTCCTCCCAAATGGGCAGGTGGACAGGTAAGGCCAGCCCCCAGCTCTCCTCCCCCAGGAACGGCGAGGGGAGGGCGCGGCTCTGCCGTCCCCTCTCTGCAGCCCCTCTGGCCTGGCCCTCCTTCCAGAGCCGTCTCTCTCCCGATCGGCTCGAAAGGTGTCTACACTCCCCTACCGCGCGCAGGCCCGAGCTCTCCTGCTGTCGCCGGGCTCCGCTCGGCAGCCGTGACCCCGGGGCCGCCCCGCCCCCGCCGACCTAATCCCGGGGCTGCGGTCAACGCCCGGAGGGGGAAAGCGTGCGCTCGGCCCATCTCCCACCAGAGCTGCAGGCCCTCGGTCCCGACCCCGCACGGGGGTCTCCGCACCACGAAGCCCTCGCTTCGCCCACCACGGGGTCCCACGTCGCACCCAAACGCCGTGCCCGCCCGGCCCTGCTCGCACCCGCCGCGCCACGCCCACGCC